GACACATTTTGTTTTTAACAGCAACTGTAATCCATGCAAGATTATAAATCAATAAGAGGAACAATTGTGAAATCATCATCCTCCTCCTCATCATTCCTCCTCTGATTGTGTTTCTTCCTACAGGGTGGACAATGGTGGAGAACAGAACTTGAAACGTGGTTTGAGAAAATGTGTGTACTTCTTTTCATTTATTACATAAAAGGAATACCGAATTTCTACTGTGACATAAATAGAAATCAATAATTATATTTTTCAGTGAAAAAACATAAACCCATCAAATATGTCCAATGATTAACTGTTGCTGTACTCTGTCTTGTTCTGTCTATAAGATTTCCTCAAACTCGAGCCGGATCCAAACACAGCAAACAGAAATCTCAAACTGTCTGGCAGTCACAGGAAGGTGAGAGCAGTGGAAGACAGGCAGCCATATCCTAATCACCCGGAGAGATACGACAGCTTTCAGCTGCTGCATCGTTACAGTCTGACAGGCCGTTGTTACTGGGAAGTGAAGTGGGGAGGATGGGTGGAAATCGGTGTCACTCACAAAGAAGTCAGAAAGACGGGAAACAACACTGAGTCCCACCTTGGAAGGAATTGTCACTCATGGAGCCTGAAGTGTTCTAATGGAGGTTACTCTGTCTGGCATGACAATAGAGAAACTACAATCCCTCTCCCTCCTTCTTCTGATACAGTCGCAGTGTATGTGGACTGTCCTGCTGGCATTCTGTCCTTCTACAGAGTCTCCTCTGGCTCTGTGATCCACCTCCACACCTTCAACACCTCATTCACTGAACCTCTGTTTCCTGGATTTAGGTTCTGTTCACTTGACTCCTCAGTGACGCTGTGTGAGTTGTAGGAACGAGCGTCTCCTCATGTGGAAACACAGAAAATATGAAGATGTTTTCAGTGATACATGAGGTGACGCAAATTGTGTGTGTGTGTGTTTTTTTTAAAAATCCATATAATGTGAAAATATTAAAATGAATTAGCACAACAAGTGTTAATAGTGAACATCCACAGATGAGCCAAAACATTCTGACTACTCACAGTGAATAAGTGAATAACACTGATTATCTGGCAGCAAAAGCCATGTTGACCATGTCAGGATATTTTTGTGAAAGGTCAGTTTTCATAATCATTGTGTTGGATAAGAGAAAGATGGGCAGACGTAAATAATAGTTTAATGATTAAAATATATGGAGTGAACACAACTGTAAACACAGCATGTAATATTTTATTAAATTCTGTTCATGTTTTTTTTTAAACATAGAATAAGCATGTTGCATCTCAACAACAGCATGGATGCCATGAAACAATGAAGTACATGATATTTTGGATGATAATGGGTCGAGATTTGTTAAATGCAAATTATTAAAGAGTGTGTCCACCATTAGCATCACATAGGGCTGCACATCTGCATTCCACAGTGGCACAGTTAAGATAAGATAAGATAATTCTTTATTGATCTGGGCATTGTAACAGCACAAGACAGTGGCACGCAAAGAATACAATAGATAAAAATATAAAAGTATGTATATATATGTATATAAAAAAAGTATGTACAAGTGGCAATCTAAAGTGACTTAGTGTGAGAGTATGTGTGTGAAGGTGTGTGTCATTATTATTATGTGTCGGGCTGTTGAGTGTGAGGACAGTCCTCTACCGTTGTACAGTTTGAAGGCTGTGGGCACAAAGGAGCACCTGAAGCATTCAGTTCTGCATCTGAGAGGGGTGAGAGGGGTCTCAGGATCCAGGATCCAGGATCTCAGGCACTGACTCCAGACTGTCCAGTTGAAGCCCCACCACAGAGCAGGTCTTCCTCACTAGTTTGTTGAGTCTGCTGGCCTCACCCGCAGTTCACAGTAACCATTAATAAGGTTGCCCATGCTGGTAACCCTGGTAAATGGTCTGCACTTACATAGTGCTTTTCTACCTTACACACAATGGCGACAGACATGCAAGGTGCTTACCTGCCATTGGGAGCAACTTCAGGTTCAGTGTCTTGCTACTTCCACTTTGACTGTGGAGGGGCGGGGGATCGAACCACCAACCCTGATGGTAGAGGACAACCGCTCTACCACCTGAGCCACAGCCGCCCTGTCTTTCTCTTGTAGCATCGTGTTGTTTGATTAAGGTTGCATTCTAATGTATTGTCTGTGTGTTGTCTGTGTACTGGTTACGCTGTCTGATTACTGTCTTTTAAAGACATTCCTGACTTGGGTGTGGATTAACTCAATGGACACTTTTTGTACATAGTTGGTTTTCCAAACTGTTACAAGAAAAATGATTATTTTTCTACTTTTTGTCTGTCAGAAAAGAAACCCATTTGTATGCCTGTGTTTGTATCTTAGTTCAGTGTTCATGTTGAGTTCATGTTTTAGGAAACCTTCTGACCACTGTGCTGCATTACAGACAGATACAAAACTGTTATATTGAGCCTTTTCACTGTAAATATTCTAAGTGCACATATGAGCCGAGCTACGGCGTCACTGACAATAGCTTTAGGGATTCTGAATGTGTCGGAAAAATAAGCAAAAACAGTGTCTAATGTTTTATTCTAAAAACATGTGGTTTTAAATCATGTAAACTGTGTGATTTTAAAAAGAAAAAGTGCTCTCAATTATAACTGATTATAACTGATGTTTTTGTTCTGTCTACATCTTTGCTTATGGAATGTTTGTTTTCTACAATTAATAAAACTGTAAATAATAATAATAACAATAATAATAAAAAACAGCATTTCTGTTGTTGTCTTTTTCAAAATCTTAGAGAGGCTCTGCAAGAGAGACGACTGAAAGGCTGAACTTCAATGCAGAGTGTGTGTTATGAGACTTGGCAGAGGTCACTGAGGCCTCTACCTTTATAGACATAAGGTACAAATGGAAGCTGAAATGGAATTCTTTGACAAGCGCTTTGAAGCGTTTGATGAAGAAACACTCTATTAAACATTTTCCACAGTTTCACACAGTTGCTGTTGAACAATGTAAATAAATGTGGCGACATTTGACAACTATAAACACTAGGTTGTACATAGTTGTTTTACAGGATGTGCTTAAAAGCTATAATTACAGTTCTAAGTATAAAAATGACTCTTATAGTCTTAAAAACCTGCCCAGTGCATTTACACATCACCATAAGACAAATTGAAGAGAATATGGATGAGCTGTTTACAGTGGCAGAATGCCTGCAGTGTCTGTCTCCTGTGTACAACCTATAAAAGTGACACTTACGAAGCAGAATTACAAAAAATAAAGGCTGCTGAAGACCAGGCCTATCAGTTAGAAGAAATATTTGGCAAGTGAAAGCAAAGGAGTAAAAAGCATGTCCTGGTATGTTGGACAAAAACGCCCAGAAGAATTAAACAGATGGGTCAGTACTTAAAGGCTTAAAGGCTAATTTTATGTACAAATCAATTTAATGTGATGAATGCATGTACTGCTTATTCAGTTTCATCTGAGGACATTTGTCTTCCTGGCATGAACTGAGTTAAATTATTACACAGCCTTCATATAACAAGAAGACTTTATGAAACCATCTGCTGACTTGTTTGATTTATTCTACACACAACAACCATGATGTTCAGCAAAAACACAAATCAGAGACTACATTCAAAGAGTCACATACACAAAAACAGGGACAGAATGAGGGAAAGGGACAAATTAGTCAGACAAATCTTCTCTAAGACTCTCTATCAGTCAAAATGTCTTTAATTTTTGCATAAACCTGAATATCAAAATCTACAGAAGCCAGTAGGAGAGAAGCAGGTAAGAGCAACAGAGAAGACAGACAGAGACTTAATGTGTCTGATACAACTACATCTAAAACATTTGATGTATTTGATCCTTCTTTGAAGTAAACCCACGCGCTACATTGCACTTAGTGGGAAAAAGGCAATATTCAAAGTACTTTACAGGCAAAGATGAAAAATAACACATGTAAAAGATAAAAAAAAATGACACTAGTTACATGAAATAAAACAATACAAAAAACAGTGCGGACAAGTTGAATAATGTGCACATACATGCCATTAATTATTTAAAACTGATGAGTGACATAAAAATGGACTTTATTGAACTCATTAATTAAAAGCAGAGGAAAGAAGAACTGTCTTCCTTTAAACTGGTGAATTTTGGGGAAAATCTCGGTTTTGCAGTTTTATTTGAAGAGTTCATTTGACTCCATTTGTGTAGATTTTCAGAAAACGTGTTTTTCGTTGTTTGAGATAATATCAGTCAAACTGAGGTTGAGTGGATTTGACTCAGTAGAAATGACAAAAACAGAGATAACTTAAGTTTGATTGATGTTGTCTCAGGTAGACGATAGAAAAGTGGGTTTACTGAAGGTTTGTGAAGATGGCCAGTGTGCATAAAGAGGGCCGTCATGACTCGTAGAGGATGAGTAAAAGTGACAATAAAATAGCACAATCTGGCCAAGCTTACACTCGGTGTACATATGAAGTAAACCGTGGTAGTTTGTGTTTCGCAAGAGGAGTCTTTGAGCACAGAGACACTGAACCACTCCAGACTCTGAATCCAGGACACAGGGGTTCAGTGAATGTGGTTTTGAAGGTGTGGAGGTGGATCAGAGAGTCAGAGGAGGAGACTCTGTAGAAGGACAGAATGCCAGCAGGATGGTTCACATACACTCCTACTCTGTGAGAGATGGAGGAGGGAGGTAGAGGGGTGATCGTCTCTGTGTTGTTGTGCCAGACAGAGTAACGATCATCAGAGCAGCTCAGACACCAGGACTGATCGTTGCCTCCAAACCTGGACTCCCTGTTGTATCCTCGTCTCCCGATCCCTCTGTAGGCCACTGCTATGTCAGCCTTTCCATTCCACTCGACCTCCCAGTAACAGCGACCAGTCAGACCATTTCTACACAGCAGCTGACAGAAGATATCAAATCTCTCTGTGTGATCGAGATATAGCTGCTGCTCGTTCACCGCTTCCACTCTCTTGTTGTTGTCAGACAGTTTGAGGTTTCTGTGTGCTGAGTTTGGGTCCAGAGTGACTTCACAGGCATCTGATGGAGAAAGAACATTTAATAAAGAAGCAGCTTACCATCTATAAAACTGACAGGTTTACTATTATTTACTTTAAAACGATTTCCCGGTGGTATGTAGGGCTCTTTGTATTGGCAAATAAGCACTAGTTGTTCTAATTTAAGATATTTTTGACCACTCCTCTAACCGAATTGGCACAGTTCAGTTAAATTTGTTGGCTTTCTGATGCAGACTTGTTCCCTTATTACAGTCCATAGGTTCCTGATGAGGTTTAAATGTACCAACCTAGTTGCTGTGAATTTGCATACAGCACACATAGTAAGTCCATCACCAGATTTCTCCTCTACCCCCTAACATATCTGGGACCTTTTCCAGTGTAAACATGTCACGATTTTACAATAGTGAAGTGCTCTAGTGGTGGAACTAGCTTGGTGAAACTCAAATAGTTTCAGCCAAACTGACTGACAATAAAACGCAGAGGAGGAGCAAAACACAATAAGTGCAGAGGAGTCAGGAAGTGGAAGGAGCATCTTGAGATGCTTCTGTTGAGGAGGAAGAGTTGGAGGTTTCAGGATGAAACCTGCCCATCTCTGTGGCTGAGGTCAGTGAATTAAGTTAAAAATCTAACCTGCCATCAAAGGTCTAGACCCACCCTGAGATGTCAAGGTGTTGGTTGTTCATGGATTTTCTGGATTCATTGTTGCACAAGACCAACAAGACTTCAAATGTTCTCTGTAGTTATTATGAAGCAAACATCTATGCACACTTACATTTCCTGAGGCCAGGCTGCAGCCTCTGCTTTCCACTAAAGTCCACACTGGAAGAAAATACACAGTCAGACAAGCATACTTTCTTTGAATAAGAAAACAGGAACAATGAAATTACACACTTTATGCAATGATTATCCAGGCCTATCGAGGCAAGAGAGTAGGAAGAGTTAATTTTATTCGTTGCACTCTTTCTGTCAGTTTTTGTGTGAATCAGTCTCATTCAGTTTCATTTGTTCTGTGTCATTGTTCTATGACGGCACCCTTAAGTGTAGCCATTCAGCAAAAACAGAAACCTAGCAAATGCTTGCTTTGGGTTGTTCGTCTGAAAATACCTGAGAGTGTCCAGCCTCCAGCATGGATCCTGTAGTCTAGCAGAAAGCAGCTTCACTCCTGACTCTCCTGGATGGTTGTAGGTCAGGTCCAGCTCTCTCAGATGGGAGGGATTGGAGCTCAGAGCTGAGACCAGAGAAGAACAACCTTCTTCTGTGACCAGACAACCTGACAGCCTGCAAACACAAAGTAGGCTAGGTCTCTCACATTGTCCCATAACAACAGATTCTCTGCCCAACATCAGGTTCACTGGGATGTGGTCCTCCTGTTACAATAAGCTCCATCCAGTGCTGGCCAGAAAGAGCTTTTCTTTGACAGAATCATCCTCTCCTGTTTTTCTTGTGTAGTGAAAGAGCTTAGCTATTGGCTTGCAAAATTTTTCTGATGCCTTGTCCAGATTTACCCGTACTTTCTTTTTAGGGTTGTTTGGTTTATTGTTTTGGACTTGATTTAACCTCCATTCACACTCTTTATAAAGAAATAATGAAAGAGTTCACACTAGCAAACGATCTACTCACATTCTTCTAAGACTGCATTGTTCCTCTTTCCCCTAGACCAGGACAGGAATGTACAAAAACATGAACCATATTTGCACCTGAAAATGTAATAATTTAATTTATGAAGAGTTTCTTTTTGTCCGTAAAACTAAGGTGTGTCCTTACAATGTGAACATGGAAACAGATTTAAGTCCCATGAAGATAAATAAGACAAACGCACATCAAAATATTACTTTTGCTTGCAGTCATTCCCTAGTCTAGATGTCTAATTTTAGTCCTAATCTAAAAATCAGATCTTCACCTAGAAGTGTCATTGCTTACTTGGATAGTAACACCATCAGTTTAATACAAATATATAAATGTCTCCCGGGTTTAGCTGTATACCAAAAATGAACAATATTTATATAATGACATCTTGACTCACAGAATCCAAGGATCATTCAAATAGTTATTTATTGAAGAAAAAAAAAATACTGACCTGAGAGTTTCCAGTTCACAGTGTGGACTCTTCAATCCATCAGAAAGCAGCTTTACTCCTGAATCCTGCAGGTCGTTGTTACTCAGGTCCAGATCTCTCAGACTAGAGGACTGAGAGCTGAGAACTGAGGACAGAGCTTCACAGCTTCTCTCTGAGAGGTTACAGCTGCTCAGCCTGAGAAAGAATCAGTAATAAACAAGACAAGTTTTAAATGTATTCTCCATCAATTAATGAATAACATACTAATTTTGAGAAGGTCGTTAGCCATCAACCTACAGAGCTTTGTTGGAGGCTTTGACCACTGGCAGCAGCTTCAGAAGAGCCTCCTCTGAAGCAGAGTATTTCTTCAGGTCAAACACACCCAGATGTTCTTCTGATGACAGTAAGATGAAGACCAGAGCTGACCACTGAGCAGGAGACAGTTCATCTGTGGAGAGACGGCGTAATCTCAAAGACCATTGGATCTCCTCCACTAGAGAACGATCATTCAGTTCATTCAGACAGTGGAACAGATTGATGCTTCTCTCTGCAGACAGATTCTCATTAAGCTTCTTCTTGATGTACTCAACTGTTTCCTGATTGGTCTGTGAGATACTTTCTGCCCTTGTCAGCAGGCCTCGTAGGAGATTCTGATTGGTCTGGAGTGAAAGACCCAGGAGGAAGCGCAGGAACAAGTCCAGGTGTCCATTTGGACTCTGCAACGCCTCGTCTACAGCTCTCTGGTGGACATGTTTAAGTGTAGGTTTTTCTTCAGATGTGTTTGGCTTCTTGGAAATTGTTTGTTGTTCTTCCATCAGGTTGATTCCAGACTTGATAAAGGTCTGATGGACATGAAGAGCAGCCAGAAACTCCTGAAC